TATATATATATATATATATATATATAGATAGATATAGTGTGTGTATGTGTGATAGACATACAATACTAATCTTGTTTTAAAAAAAGGCTCATACAATTCTAACTTGGATTCTTTAGTAACTTTGTTCTATGTTTCAATTTTTATTCCAACAAATGCCCATGACCTTAAATATTGGATGCATACTTTAAATGAACAACAAATAAAGTTGGGACTAAATAAGGAATATTTGGTAACTTCAATCGTATCTTTGCTTTAAAAGCTACTGAATTGTAAAATTTTAAAAATCAAAGTTTATAAATAAACGTTTTATACACTTGCCTACATTCATTGCATAAGAGGATGGAATAAGCAGATTTTGTCAAAACTGTTAACAAATATGTTTTTGAATAATGAAACAATGATGTGATAATAATTTACTCACAAAATTGAAGCTACATTTCACGCACTACATTTCATGCACAAAAAGATTCAGTAGACAACTGAAATGTATGCCAATAGTTTGTATTTTAAGAGTCCATACACATAAGAGTTGGAGGTTTATTGTGTTAATAAAGCAGTTTATTGACTAAGTTTGCATATATTAATAATTATAATTACATTTTGGTAACCTGAATAGTTTATTCACTTTTCATAATGTAGTAAATATGTTGTTTATTTAATGGCAGTTATAATTTTGTGTAATTGAAGGCTTTTCTTCATGGTTTTCTTTGTTGTATAATTTCAGTATTATGATGCATAATTAACATTATGTCAGTATGATTATAACTGAATAATTAGGTAAGTCTCCATTAATCACATTTAGTTGTTGATTTTCTTCAGGGTTCGAATAGAATGGGATACAGATATAACAAGTTTAGAAGGTGAAGAAATTACTGTTGAAATCCGAGAAAGATTTCCTATCACAACAAGTATTTCTCATAATTTTGTAAGTCTGTGTTTCTTTTCAAGCTTTGCTTAATTTTGGTTCATAGGGTGAAACTAATGGGTTTGTAATCTACTTCCAAGATTGAAATGGAAAAGGAGCTGCCTTCTTAAAAGTAAGGATTCTGTGTATTATGACTTTCTTTCCATCTTCTTTTATTTAAATAAAAATAGTATTGTCTTGGAATGGTTTGTTGCTATGACTTCTGCCATACTTACAGCAGTGGATGTGTAATTGTATGCACGGTAACTTGATACTGTTAAGTACATCTCTGTAAAGTGACACACTATTTTATTGGTAGTTTTGTTTTGTGGCATTTTATTTTTAGATGAATGAGCTCTGTATTACTTTGATAGATATCAATCTTGTAAGTTGCATTTATATCAAGCCTGTTTATGGAAAGAAGTTTTAACATTGTCCTGATATCAAAATAGTTTATCAGTGTCAATACGTGTATCAATGTGTATACTATATAAATATTGATGTCCATAGTTTTGAAACATTTTTTTTTCATCTTTATTTCTTAGAATACATATTTATGTGTCTCTGTATGTGATTACAAGTTTCGTACAAACTTGATGTTTTATTATGTATGTATTCTCTATAACAGTTGTATAAAAAGAGTTGATAATATTGAAATTTTATTTCCATATGAGCTCATCTGATCCAGAATTTTCAAATTATGTAAAAATTGATTTTTAGTTTCTTAAAGAAAAAACATCAGTAATTCATTAATTTTTTCAGTTTAATTGTTATAATGTTTCAAGACTTTGGTAGTGACCTATCACTATAATGAATTAAGGTTGTGTAGTTTCATTTGCTAAGTGGTTCAAGTATATATAATCTGCCAAACTTAATACAAGAGTACATGATTCATTCTTTGTTGCCTCATTATCATGCTTTGCACTTTGTGGCCATGAGCGTAGTATAAAAGAGATGATCAAAACTTTCACATTATTTTCTAACCCTAAATCACATCATTCATTCCTCTGCATGCAAACCTGTCTGTGCTTATCGGACTATCAGTTTAAAGTGTATCAAAATGGTACTAATCATTTACCTATCAATCTGTTATCTCCTCTTACAAATATTCTGTCATCTCCTAAGTACTGGCATACATCTACTTATCTTATAATTCACGTAAAATTCATTCAGCCATCTTTTCACATATTTATACAAGATTTTAATGTTTACTCGTATGTGAATTATTTAAACTAATATCTGTCCATTCATACTTCCTCATTTATGGAAACTTAAATAACTATGCCTACCTCTCCATTCATATATCCTCACATATACACATAAACTTACCTAACCATTACCTATCCATTGATGATCCATCCATACATCTGTAAACTCATTTCATCATTATCCATATATCCACTCATATAATTACAGGCTGGCCATGGATAAGTGATTAGTGTGTTGGGCCATATGAGTGTTGGTTGAATTCAACTATTTAAGTAGAGTAGCCTAAAAGAGGTGCTGTTTCCTAGCTGCCTTCATTGGTTCAAAATTAAGGATGACTTGTGCAAATAGTTCTTGTATCTTATTTGAATATCTGAAACAAGAAAAAAACAATTTCTAAGATACAGCTGTTATTAGCATATGACTTCAGCTTAAAAATGTAGTTATTATAAAATGAAACACTGTAAAAGTTAGTTCAGTGGTAGTGGGAAACTTTTAGGAATCTTTGATATAAATATTATAAGGATTGTGCTTTTCATCTGTGCAGTGTGAATTATAAAGTACTACATACTAAAAAGAGGCATATGACATTCTGATATTTTTGACAATAAAGAAAATATTTTATGGAATGAGAGCTATTATAAGTACGTTATGTAAGCATAAACATACACATGTAATAAAGTATTGTGTGTAATAAGTATTGTGTGTACAGAGCTCAAGCATCATCAGATCTGTATAAAGATGCATTTTTTTGCATTCTTCCCAGATGTACTTTATTATTACATACCATAAAAGCCACTTTGCTTCAGGTTTGCAGTGTGTATAATATTAAGTTCTTTACTGTTTTTTTCAGGCTAGAAAAACATTTTTCTCATTAGCCTTCTGTGAATGTTGTCGAGGTATTCTATTTCATGGATTCCGTTGCCAGACGTGTGGGTACAGGTTCCATCAGCGGTGTGCTGCTAATGTGCCAACACTGTGTCAACCCCTCCGAGTGGACCACATTTATAAACAGTAATACTTGTTTGCATATATTTAGTGAATGACATGAATGAAAAAATTTCAGCCTTGTTGAAGTATATTAGTTAAAATATCGTTATCTGTTTATATATTATTTCAATTTATAATTAACAGAAAGATCAGCAACAGCATTTAAACTTACATGATAATGTAATTTTCTAAGAAAAATAGTCTTGTTAGTGTTATTAGTGATTGGATTCATGAAGTTTGTACATCATTCTAAGAGTTGATTGTTTTCTTCAACTATCTGCAGCTGCTGCTATCAGTAACAAGTTATTTTTTTTTCCCTAGTTATAAGTACACTTAAATGATAGCATTGCTTAATTGAAGTTTTTCCAAAATAATTTATATATATATATATATATGTGTGTGTGTGTGTAAACTTTCTTTTCAAAGGATTTTCTTCTTATTAAGTTCTATTAATGACTTTATTTCATTAAGTATTTAACTTACATTGTTGTTTATGAGACTTAGATTTTCAAAATTAATCTTTTCTCAACAGTGTAGCAATTTCAAAATATTCTTCTATTAAATGGTAAGAGAATTTTATTTTGCTATTTTGAATTGGTTTTAAGTTTTGTTTGGATATGTTACTTAGTTAATAATCTTAGTGTACTGGTTTGATTGTATTTGTTTTGTTCATAAGACTTCTAGCAATGAATAACACTGCAAGTAACATGCTTCAGACAACTGGAGATTCGTATTCTCCTTATGCCTCAAACTATCAATATCAACGACAACCTGCGGTGACATCACCACCGAAAAATGTGCCTAGGTCTCATCCACCACCACTGGGCCAGAGAGAGCGCTCAACGTCTGCTCCTAATGTTTGTTATAACACAGTTAATCATGACATGACTCTAGAAGTAAGGAAATAAAACTTTAGTACAGATGTAATTTAAATATATGTTTTGGACATGAGTTTCTTACAACATATAAATCTGAATGTCATTTGTATCATGAGAAAGCTTCTGCAAAGTCTCATTATGCCACATAGTTTCTTGGTTAATAGTTAATTAAAGTTTCACGAGTATTGCACAGTTTAGATGTTTAATTTTACAGATATAACCTTCCTTGATTTTAACCATTAAATTTTCATATTTTGTAATTTTTTTCATTCACTCTGTTGTGTTACAAATTTGATATTTCTTTTTTAAGCTACTGATACTGAAAAGACTTTTCAAAACATTTTCTTAGAACAGTCTCCATAAACTCAGAAATGTATAAAAAGTGAATGAAACAATACATGTAAGGAATAAAATAGAAAAATCAATGTAGCAATTATATTAATAAAGTGGTAGGTATAGCAGCAGTGAAGATGTATGTTGCACTTTGTATTTCAATATTAAAGAGTATGGGGAATATAACAAATGATATATGTAGCGCTTATTACACAAGTAATTCTGTTGGTAGATTAATTTTAAATTACTTCATGTTTTAGATCATATCTAGGTTGCAGATGTTTTAAATAAAGACAAAAATTGTGATACTTATTAAATTTATAATACTTCTTGTAATTTGAATGATTTTATTTGACAGGAGTTTGCTTTAAGGCTTCGATCACAGAATGTACCTGGTGGTAAGTCTGATTTTTATACTTTAAAATAATATTTTGTACATCAAATTGTTTAGATAAATGCCAAAGTTGGGTTTAGTATCTTTGTTTAATGTACTGTTCAAGAAAATTAATGGGTGGCACAATGTATACATATGTCAAGTTTTTCAAGTCCAATCCATATGACTGAGGCCTATGGAACTGAAATGAAGTTGATTATAATATTATAGGGACATCAGCTGTTGAGAAAAAGTTATCTTTACCATGTCAAAGTTTATTTGAGAACTATGACTTGAACTCAGTCAAGTGTTTGTTTATTTTGGGGCTATTATAAGTTTTATAGTAGATATTAACATCAAATTCCAAGTATTAGTGACAACCATTTCTTTAAGGAATTGACTTCAAAAATCATAGAGAACTAATTTTAACAAATTTTGTAGCTCTTCATATATTCCATGATATTATTGTTTAATGTCTTTGTATGAGTAAAGACCAAGTGTTATTCACCATTGATATGAAAATATATGAAGATGTAACTTAATTTCAAAACTAGTATTTGAAATGATATATATTTTGTGTTAAGGACTATAAAGTAGTATATGTACTCATTTAAACTATAACTATTAAAAGAAGGTTATCATGGTATACTAGATTAAAGGGAAGTTCTTAAAAGTAAAAAGTAGCAAGTCTGATTATGTTTTAAAGTATTTATGTGTCAGATGTAACCAATGCTGCTGATGTTGCAAAAGGTAGATTATTATTATTATTATTATTATTAATAACTGAGCATTTGTGTTTTGAACTTTGTGTCTGATGTATTTTTTATAAACACTTACTAGAACCTGTTGTATATCAGTAACTTTAATAATAAGTAATGTTGTTTTAATTTCATAATGCTAGAAATTTGGAATTTTGACACCAACTCTTGTTACATTTACACTGGTTATGAAACATTGTGTAAGTTACATACAAAACAGGAACAAGTGTACTTGTTATCTGTGTACTGGATATTGGTAGCTAAGTAAATGTTAATATTTAATGAAGCTCAGCAGAATCATAATCTTCACAAACTTGTTTTTAATTGTATGCGACAGTTTTAAACATTACTACATTTATCAGTCATGGTTTAACATAAAGCCAAATATATTTATTGGAAATATAAAAAAAACAATGAAGAATTCAAATTCAGCTGTGATACATGATGATTTCCTCCTTTATCTTTAAAGGAATGTATTAGAGTTATAAACAAAATTTATTTTAATGTGAGGGCTTTATACACAGGCTACAATATCCAACAGGAAATTCTTTGAGACGCTGGTAAACGTCATGCATTTTATCATAAAACATTTAACATGAAAATCAATTAGAATGAATAACTTTTTGAGTGATGTACATATTCTTTTACTTACTAATTATTTAGCATTTTATATGGATTGTCTTTGTATTTTTTTATCAATTTGAAATTTTGGAGGCCAACCCCTATTTCTGATTCTCAAAGAAACAAGCCCTACTTTTTTAACCTTTAACTAGACTTGTGCATCATTTTCCAACTCGGTTATTGAAGATATAGTTTCCAAGTAAATTTTTTTTAAGTGTAGTTGCTTTTTCTCATTATAATAAATGCCTATGGGCTACTTACGACAAAAAATATACTTAAATTGTAAGAAATATTGAATTTTTAAGTTTATATGGTACACCATAAAATTTTACCTATTATGGTACTTAATAGTTATAATTGAAGTTTTGTATACATCATTAGAAGTTACACAGATTTTTGCTGAAATTTATTATCACTGTAATAGGTTTTTATTTCTTGCTAATGAGTAATATTAAATCTGAATACAAAACAAAATTATATAAGTAGATGCTAATTTTAGTCTTTTGAGTGAGTTTGTAAAAATATAATGAAACTTAGAAGACATAAAACTTATTTTGATTTCTCAAGAATTAACGTAAAAAAGGAGGGATGTCAGTATGACATGAAAATGATCTTTTTATTTTATTTTACTGAAACTGTTAGGAAGTAGTTCTGGTATATGAGGAAAGTAAAATTAAATGTGAAAATGCACAAATTTTGCAATATTAGCCTTACCTTTCTCAAGCTCTTACAGCAGATTTTTAAGGTAGCCATACTAAGAGTGGGTATATTAAACATATCGTTACATTTCTGTACTATTCACTCAAAAGTCCCAGGGATAAACATTTGAGAAAGAAGGATGCAATATGATTCTAATCAAAGAAATCATCTTCCATCACAGTTAGGAGCTGAGAAGCATCAGTGGTGCTTTTGCTCATGGTATTTCAAGGCATGCAGGATTGACAGAAAAAGTTAGCATCAAAAAAGATACCCAATAAACGTGATGCTTTTGAATAGCTTATGACAAATGTAGAGGTTTAAGCATAATAATTTTCCGATTACTGTGCTAGATCTCAAGGAAGTGAGATGAAAAGCAACTCCTTAATTTCAACAATGAGCACATACATGAGCAACACTAGTAATCAGATTCCACTCATAAGTAACAAGATATATATGGAAATATTAGCCTGAAATGTTAAAAAGCCACTACTTCAAACACTAGTGCTTGTTTTCAAATGTTTTGTTCTTATAATGATACACAATATACTTGCTTGATATAAATTTGTTTCATCCAGATAAATTTTGCTGCTTCAGTTAGAAATATTTGTAGGCTGTACTGGCATTTCTGCTTCATGTTTTTAAAGACTATGAACATAAAATGTCAAACATGGAAAATTTTTTATAGGTTTTAGGTGGTGGTAATGATACATTGGATAGTTGAACAAGCTTCTTCCACCTACAATAGTTTTTGAAATGACATTTGAAATTTCTAACGTGAATATTCTTTAGGCCAGTGTTGGAAGGTTATGGAGAGGTTTGATATAAAAATGTAGACAAGGATGATAGAGAGAAATGAAGAGTATGGAATCCTGGAATTTATTGAATTGCAACTTAAGTCAAAAGTGGATTGAAACAGCAATGAAAATGGTCAGGGAAGGGAAATCTACTTTGAGATGTTTGTTGAATGTTATTGGAATGGGGGGTATTCATAGTTTACTAATTTCAGTTCCTTGGTCTTTTGAGTTTTGGATTTGTCATATGAAGCTTGGTTAAGAATAAAACAGATTTCAACAAACAAACTCGTGCAACTTGGGCGTTTTATTTCTAGTCATTTTCACACTGTTTTAATCCAATTTTGCTTCAACTTACAATTCTAGCAGTGTAGAACATTATCTTCAAATTACTACAGGTGGATGAAAATTACCACACTCTAAAAGTACTGTAAATGGGTTACTTACAAGTTCCTTTGGAGTGTGAATACAGCTCAAGTTCTAATAGTACTGAGAATTGAGATGACAATTAATATTTTTATTATACTTGTAGCTTGTTAGTGTACATTTATTTTGTGTAATTTAAAAATTCTGTTCAAAATTTAAGAAATAATGTACTAACCTGGCTGCTGATCAAAAACTAGTCTTTTCGTAGCTGTTGTAACACCTGTAGTAACTTAATGGCTGATTAAGTAGTGTCAGTACTCTGAAGCATTGATGAACTTTGGCAGTTGTATAATCTCCCTAATCATTTGTGAGTCAATAATCAAAGGGGGCCATTCACATATAGCATCATCAGACAATGACAGCTGTGGAACACTTCTGATAACCTGAAGGCTGATGAAAAAATGTCAGTTACATGCAGCTTATTAAGAGTAGTGTATTCTGAATGTGCATCATTTGTTCCATTAATGTCATAACAAAACCAAAAATTAGGATAAGGGTCTTTATGATACTAATTGATTAAGTAAGATTCTAAATGTGTTTCATTATCCCATTAATATTCTAACAAAACCAAAAATAAGGCTATTTATGAGACGAATTGAATAAGAAAACTAATTTTAAAACTTTATTTTCAATTGTACGCATAGTTTTGTTATGAATTATCCCAAAATATAAAGAGTGTAGGTATATTGATCCAATTGTTGTTTTAAAAATAATATTTAGGTCGGTAATTTTATGGGTATTTTGCATAGTCTAGAGTAGACATCCCAAGGAGAGAGTGATAATTTAGTTTTACTAACCTGCACGCTCCTCCATTTAAATCAAAGATAAACCTGCATGCTCAACTCTTTTCTTTTTCCATTTCCCTGCATGCTCTAGTGTCTTCTCCCTTGACCCCTCGGTATGAGATTTTCTCTCGCTTTCACACACACAAAGGCAGTCCAACCCATTCTCCGGTGCCCAAGCGCCGACAGCTTGAGTTACCATGTCCCGGAGGCAGTAAGTGCCACCTTGTTCCAACTTGTGTAGATTTTATTAATGCAAACTTCAATCAAAGTGGGAGATAATATTGCTTATAAATGAAATGTTTTGTCACCTTTTCAAATATAAAAGTTAACTTATTTTTTGTCAAAAGTTTTTGTTGAATAGCTTTTTATTTCAAGTAACAGTAAACTTTACAGTCAACTAATTGCATTATAACTGCTTTTCTTAACTTCATATGATGTTAAACTTTGTCATAGTATTATGATGATTTTTTTATGAAACTGTTTCTTGTACATTTTTTCTGCATCTTATTTTCAATCTGTAGTTCTACTAACAAGAAATTATGTATACATATATATATATATATATATATATATATATTTATATATTACTTTTACATTGACTTGTATCTGTTACATAGATAAGATTTTAAATTCAGAATTAATCTAGTACGTGTGCAAATCCATTTCTTGTTCGTAGTAGTCCAACAATGTTATTCAATTATGTGTAGGTCCTGGGTCACTTGCTCTTCCTTATCAACAAAGCTCTGCTTCCACTAATCACAGTCCAAGTTCCAGTCCAACTAGAACGCAAAGTGCACAGGGTTCCCCAACCAACATCCATAAACCGTGGAGGCCCCGGGCAAGATCTGCTGATGAAAGTTCCAAAAAAGTAGTAAGTAGTTTTGATAATTATATTGCATTAGTAATGAGGTAGTCATTAACATAATTGAATATTAAGTACTACCATTCAGAGTTATACCATTAAGCCAGTTATATGTGTTATCTATTTGCTCAGATGAATCCCATTTGGCATTTTCAACTTTTTGAGTATGTACTTTCGAGTCATTTGTTCCACAAATGCTAAAGAAAATTGTGAAAGTATTAAAAGCACCTTACTTCTGTGTGTAAATTCCATTAGTTGGTTACCTACTTTTCTTCAAAACATTGTAACGGTTAACAACTGTGTTCATCTTCAAATCATTTGTCACCCTAAAACAGTTAATATATTACCCAAGCAACAGCTGTTCAACATATTTTGTTTACACTGTGACACAAGATTAGGTATACATGTTATTCATGTACGAACTGCATTAAAATTTCAGCTTATTTTTGAGAGAACAATATAGTTGATTTTTTTTTCCTTTTATACCAGCCTTTTTTTATGTAAACATGTTTAGAAGAATAGTGTTCTTGCATTGCTTAATAAAGAAACTGGTAGAGAAAATTTATATACAAGTTCTGTTTGGAACTGAAATCAAGATTTCTAAAGATTTGGAAAAAAAAGGTGTATGGTTAAGAATAATCTTAAGGTTTTCTTTGGGTTTTAGATTTTTTTTTAATTGTTATAATGCCAGATTAATCTGTTTATATAAGATTTTTTGATAAATACTTATGATAAACCCCATAGTTGTATTCTCTGTATGTCTAGTTGTGTTGTGTATCAGCAAATTTAGCTGTTGGTTGTTTCTGCTTGTAAGCTGGTTTTTGCTCTCTCAAATTAGTAAAAGGTCTTGTGGAAATTCATAAGCTGACTTGTATAATCCACTGAAATTAACCCATGAAATGTTTATGTTTATAGCAGCGAACAACCAGGGAATCGATAGAAGACTGGGAGATCCCAGCTAATGAAATTCTTACTGGTCCTCGAATAGGTTCTGGATCATTTGGAACTGTATACAGGGCTCATTGGCATGGTTAGTAGCTTTATAGAAAGTTGAAGAGATATTACAGTATTAAACATGACATTTAGTTGCAATAATGGCTTATTTATAGCAAGTGTTAAACACCAAAATTCAGAGAAACTAAGACATTCCCAATATGTAAGGATTGACATTGTTACACTGTTACTTGTCCTGAACAAAAAAGCTTTTTTTATGTCTATCTCAATGCATCATAACATGGATTCTGTGGGAGAAGCTTACAGACTATTCAGTTAGTTGGCTGTTTTGTCACACTATACCAGGAACAATTTTTGTTGTAAAAAAACATAAGTTAGGGTACATTTCTTCAAGATATGGTAATGAGTAGAAATTTTATTCATCCTTTGCAAAAAGTATGTTTCTATAAAACAGCATATAACTGGTTTTTAATGATGTGCAATCCTGCTTAACTCTTCCAACACCAGGTCAGTCGATTTGACCAAGTCACGTGACCTTCTGTACTCGTTTAAAGTTGACATAAATTTAATTCTTGTAACTCTATATATATTGGGTATATCTTCACGAAATTTGGCAGTCTTTCAGTTAATATTACAATTCTTTCACATACAAAAAGTCATATTTCTTAGTGAAGTACTTTTAATAAAATAAAATTGAAGTTTTGTCCATGAATATATTGAGTATTTGTTTTGAATAGTCCATGTGCAAAGTAATTTTCATGTTAAAGTTAAAAATACTTTTCGTCATTTCAAAGATCTCAAATTT